TTTCAAACTTGTAGAACTATTTTGAGAAGTAATTACATGATGATTCCACCCTTTAATCACAAACTTCCAAGTTTTGTTGTCTATGGATTTGAGAAAGTTGGCCATTTTAAATTTCTAATATTCATAATTGGTGCCATGTAAAATAGGTGGTCTGATAACAGACCATTCATCCTTCGTGTTGTTCATTTTAACATAAAATATTTCCTTGGAGCTCAACCAAATAGAACAAGGTGTATGCTCTGATGTCAATCAGAATTCTATTCCTCAGGGGACAAATGTTGGACACGATGTTGGAGTAACTGGTCCAACAAGTTAAACCAGGTTTCACACGTGGTGGGCAATAATATAGAGTCAATGTAAAATTAATAAATAACACAAGAGATTGGTAATCTAATTCGGTGAAACCACGCCTACGTGTGGGGGCACTCTACCTAAGAAAGTAAATTCACTACTTTAAATTAGAACAATTAGATTTATAAGAAGCTTCAATCCCTTATGAAGTTCTATGTCTCTCCCTAATCCTAGTGATTTTCTATTTAGGTCTACCCCAACATATGAGAACCCACTCACTTTCTTTTATGACTAAACCCTAGTGATCAACCTCAATAACAAATCTATTGATTGTTGAATTTACAACTCAACTAAGAAAAACCAGTTATGTCAAGTTACTGAAATACAGTGGTGTGCAACAAAGATTCAACACTAATCTAATTATGGCATTAGCATGGAATACAAGAAATAAATACTCAAACCCATGCACAAAAAACCTAGATCTTGCGCACCAAACTCTTGACAAAACATGAGAATAGAGTATCCTTATATAGCAATGTTTCCCTACTTTTTCTCCTTGGGTCTCTGATTTAAAATCGTCCAAAATCTCATATGAATTTAATTGAGATTTTTTGCTTCAAATCAACTCCACAATACATGATTTGATTTGAATTCAAATTTAAATCACATCGATTTAAATTTAATTAATTAAAATAATAAATCAAATCCAATTGCTAAAATACAATAACAATATTTGTTTGTGTGATTTGTTTGACATCTGTTAAAGATCAAATCAGATTTAAAGTTGAATTTGAATTAAAACAAATCATATATTTTGTTGGAGTTCTTTTTGTATAAAATTAAATCCAACAAGATTCAACTGTTATTCTGAGCGAAATCAAATATGAAATCCTAAGGAGAAAAGCCCAGAAGACATTGCTATTTAAGGATACTCAAATGTCACTTTTGAGGTGTGCATGTAAGGAAGATACCTAGTGTTAGGATTCATATTTTAAGTCTTTGATTTTTCACCACTTTAGCGCCTCATTTCATATCTTAAGGCATAAAGTTTGGTTTCTTAATTGAGTCATAAACCTTGTTCCAAGATGCTAAGTCTATAAATTTGAGAACATAGTGTTTCTCGTATTCCACACTAATGCCATAACCAAATTAGGGTTGAATATTTGTGTACACCACTCTATGTTTCAGTAACTTGACAAAGTTGTTGGTTTGTTTTAGTTGAGTTGTAAATTCAATAATTGTTATATTAATGGTGAAGTTGATCATTTGGGATTAGTGATTGAGAGAAAATGATAGGGGTTATCATATTTTGAGGGAAACCTAAATAAAAAGTCGTCGGGATAATGAAGAGGCATAGAACTTCATAGGGTTAAAGTTTCTTATAAGGCTAAATGTTCTAATTCAAAATAGGTGTGGTTTAACCAAACTGAGTTAGCAATCTCTTGTGTTATTTGTTATTTTTCTGCTTCATCATCTTGTATAATTTAATTTGTCATATCTTGCTTGCAAATTGGTTTTCTGTTTCTGGTTTACAATGTCTCAGATATCGTGTCCGACGTTTGTCCCCAACATATGTCCCATGAGGAACAAAATTACAGAACTTTTCCATCTTTCTTACTTTGTTCCTTGTGCGCAATCTTCTAAACATCATTTGCATTTACTTCCAACGCAGTTACTCCATCATTTACGATTTCAACGACATCTTGAAATTTGAATATGGAATTCATTTGTGCAATCCACCATTCATAGTTCTCCTTTGGAAACCAATATAGATTTGCAGGAAATTGCATTGATGTTGTGTTTTTGTCTACTATTACATAATCACTCTGAATCGCAATCGGGCTCGTTGATACCAATTTGTTGGAACAATTAGAGTTTTATCAAGAAGAAAGAGAAGAAGAAGAAGAAGGAGAGAGAGAGAGAGAGAGAGAGAGAGAGAGAGAGAGAGAGAGAGAGAGTATATTATGTGAAAAAGGATTCATGAAATTGCTACTAATTGATTTACAATGTTACTTTTATATATATATATATATATATATATATATATATATATATATATATATATATATATATATATATATATATATATATATATATATATATATATATATATATATATATATATATATATATATATATATATATATATATATATATAAAACAAAACATACAACTTACAAATTGTAGTATTCGACTATATTGAATACTTGCTTACACACTTCGATGCACATATTTTATTCGACTAACACAACTATGTCAAATGTAACTTTTCTAAAATACTGAATTACATCTTCTAACAATTATATAACATTGACGTTATATGTGAAAGTTAACTGCCAACTCAATTTTAATTTAACATAAACAAATAAAAGAACAAATTTGCATTAAATTGTGAAACACATAGGATCAAAACAAAACAAAACACATAAAATAAAATAAAAAGTAAAACAACTTTTATATAAAAGATAAATAACAAAAAAGTATATTTTAATTTATATTTTTTTTCCTTGTAATACTTATAAAACTACAATTTTTATAACTAGGGAAAATAAAACATGGTATAAGAAATTGGGCCAAGCTTTGATACCATTGGGTATTGTATTGAAAAACTGGACTTCATATCCTCCCTTTTGGATTTATACCCCCATAGTCTTATGAAGTTACTAAAATACCTATAAAATTAAAAAAACAAAGTATTGAAGTTTAAAAAACAAAGTATTAAAATTTCTCCAAAACACATTTATCTCAAAAATCACAACTTTTGGAAAAATTCAAGCGAGTTTCATATTTTCTGAAAAATCTACAATCTAATACTTCGAATATTCAAATCAAAACTTTTTCTTTTTAATAATTTAGGACTTGAAAGCTTTCTTTGTTTTTGGAAGTTTTTGTTCAAATATTCAAATAAAAAGTTATTTTTATTGAATATTGTTTATTTGAGTATTCAAATTGAAACTTCCTAAAAAGCAAAACTTTTGAGTTTTTTTTTTTAATTCTTTTTTTTCCTTATTCATCATTTTTTTTTTACAATTGTTAAAAGTAAAGAACGCAGTGATATGACTCTTTCTCTTGATCACACCCACATCAAAGTTAGGTCACATGCAGCTACATGCAAAAGATATGTTGAGGCACAACAAGTATCATTCTCCAATATGATATGATGGTGCAATCATAATAGGTGCCTCTGACATGAGAAGCACTGGTAAGATCTTCTTATGAACCCAAGCCTCAGTATGAACTGCATGACTATGAATAACCTCCAAACTGTCTACAATTATGCACAATAAAGGTGATCTGATGCTGTTTTGATCTTGTAGGATTTGGTGGTGCATAAGAAAAAGGAACGCATAATTATCTATTAGAATGTTGTTGTAATATGTTGATGGTTTATTTAGTTGGTTTTGTTAATTTAGTCTAGATTTGGAGTATAGAATCGTGTGAGCCCTCTACAAACAACTAGTGGTTCCTCTTTGTGATGTTGAACTCAGACTATATATCTAGTTGTAATGAGTTAGAGTACTCTTATACTCACTTGAATATAATTTCCTTATAAAAAAATCAAATTAAAAAAATGCCAAAATGCATCTAACAAGAAGTAATGGCTTGGATATGCAGTCCATCCACCATAATGTTATTCCCATGTTCATGTTAGAGGCATGCACTAAATTTGAAGCTTCTTCCTAAACATAATTCTGTAGTGGTAGTTTATATGTTGCACATTTTGCATTTAAACTTTCCGGACAAAAATCAAAAGACTTTGCAATGAAGTCCTCTTGGTGACCTTTATATCAAATATTGTAATGTTGTCCTCTTGGTCGATACTTAAAAAAAAAAGCTTAAATGCAGATTTAGTCTCCAAACTTACGTTTTTCTAAACTTTTAAGTTTCCTTTAAAAAAACGCAGCTTATCTTGAAATTTTCTTGGTCCCCTCTTCAGTTTGAGCTATGTGACATGGTCAGCGGTGATGTGGCATGGTAGATGTTGACCCAGGCTAGAAATGATTTACCACGTCATTTAAAACTTATTATATTTAATTTTTTTAAACATTTTTAATTAACTTAAACTGAAGAGTTTCAATCTTCCTCATTCATAAAAGAAGAAAACACGTATCTTCCGCCATTTGAATTCTATGAACCCTAGAAATCGTCTTTAAGAATTCCCCAATTGTTTCACTCAAAGCCTTAACACGTTGTTTGGGAGGAGAAAAGCAATGGACAAAATCCTTCAGCAACAAAGAAAAGCAGCGAAGAGGAGAAGTTTTGTCTCAAGTGTGCAGTATTTTGTCCCCCGTTATAGAAACATGTCGTTTTCGTTTTAGGGTTTGTGTTTTTTTGCACGTGGTGGTCCCAGTCATTTTAGGGTTTGTGTTCCTTTGTCGTTTAAGGCTTGTGGTCCCATTTGGGTTATGTTGATTTGTGTGTCTTCCTTTGTCTGACTTGTATTTAACATGTATTCCATGCCATCACAAACTCAAAAAATTAGGTTTAGAGTTCATCATAGAGGTTATTTTGTGGACACCCCTGTGAAACTGTATGTAGCTGGGTTAATTTCAGAAATGAACTGGAAATGGGATGTTGACTATCTGTCCTATTTTGAGTTTTTGGAATTGATTAAAAAAGAGGGGTATAGAGACATTATGTGTATTTGGTATTAGAACCCTAGGTATAATTTTACTCGTGGCCTTAGAAAGATTAAGGGTGATGGTGATATGTTGCAACTAATTAGGGATGCTGATGAATGTGAGGTAGTGGATTTGTATGTTGAGCATAGTATTAGTGTACCTAACATTGTAGATGATGCAGAAGTAGGACATGACATAACTTATAATGATGACGAGGTTCAATGTACTGGTGAGAAATTTGTTGATGATGAGGTGGAAGTAGATAATAATGCTGAAGTAGTTGATGATGTTGAAGTAGGTGAAGTGGACAATGATGCTGAAGTGGGTGATGGTGATAGTGTTGAAGTGGATATTGATGCTGAAGTGGGTGACAGTGATGGTGTTGAAGTGGATATTGATGCTGAAGTGGGTGATGGTGATGGTGTTGAAGTGGATATTGATGCTGAAGTAGGTGATGGTGTTGATGTGGATATGGATGCTGAAGTGGGTGGTGGTGTTGATGTGGATAATGATGCTAAAGTGGGTGATGGTGTTGATGTGCATAATGATGCTGAAGTAGGTGATGGTGTTGATGTGCATAGTGATGCTAAAGTAGGTGATGGTCATGATGGCAATGAACCTAAGTTTGATAGTGAAAAAGAGTTGGAGAGTGAACCTGAGTTGGATCGGGCAACTGTAATTCCAACTAAACCAATTAAACCACATGTCAATGACAATGACTTTCACCATGATAATGATGAAGATTCTGACCAGCTGCAGACACCACCTGAGAGTGAAAATGATGAAGAGTATGAGAGGTTTCCTACCTATAAGGTTGGTGTGGGAACAAAATTTCAATTAGGCATGAAATTTAACAACAATGATTTGGTAAGGGAAGCCATAAAGGAGTATGCTATGATGGAAAAAAAGAATGTGTATCTAAAGAAGAATGATGCAAAGAGGATGGTTGTTAGGTGTATTAGTGAATGCAAGTTCTACATGAGAATTGGTAAAAGGGTTGATAACCAATATTGGCAAGTGGTGAGTTTATATGATGAGCATAATTGTCATAGAACAATATAGAATAGACAAGCAAAAACTGGATGGTTTGGCAAGCAGTTTAGCCATATACTAAGGCATACTCTTGATTTAAAACCAACTGGTCTAGTTGCTTTGGCATTTGATAAGTGGGGTGTCAAACTATCATCTGAACAGGCTTATAGAGCTAAAAGAAGAGCAATGGATATTATTCAAGGTGCAGGAAGGGACCAGTTTACACATCTAAGAACTTATGCAAATGAGCTAGTTAACTCCAACCCTCATAGTAACATTGTGTTGAAATGCTCAGATTCTAGTGATGACCCAATTTCTGAGAGAATATACATTTGTCTAGAGGCATGCAAGACTGGTTTTGCTTTTTATTGCAGACCACTTATTGGACTAGATGCTTGTTTTTTAAAAGGAGATTAAGGTGGGCAGTTGATGGCAGTTGTAGGCAGGGTTGGAAATAATCAGATATTTCCAATTGCATATGCTGTTGTAAAAGCAGAAACTAAGGACTCTTGGGAGTGGTTTTTAAATCTCTTACTTGAAGACTTGCAAAGCATAAATCAAAGGGATTATGCCTTTATTTCTGATCAGAAAAAGGTAGATCACTATTGTTTTATATTATTTTCCTACTATTGTTTTTAAATCACTTATGTAAGTTGTATATAATGGTTAACTGCATTGACTTGTAATTGACATGGTCTTGTCCTAGCATGTGGAACAAAGACTATGTGTGAAGCATTTGTATAGCAACTGGAAAAAAAGTACACTGGTATGGAATTAAAAGAGGCTTTATGGAGTGCTGCAAGAGCATCGACTATTTAAGGATGGGAGAGGGAAATGTTGAGGATGAAGGCTTTGAATGAATCAGCTTGGAAGGATATGAAGGAGGTTCCAGCATAATATTGGAGCAGGTCACACTTTAAGACATATTCAAAGTGTGACCTTCAGGTAAATAATATGTGTGAAGCCTTTAATAGGGACATCCTAGAAAATAAGGACAAACCTATTATCACACTTTTAGAAGGGGTAAAGCATTACTTGACTAAGAGAATCACTAACTAGAAGGAACTCATGGTAAAGTATGCTGGTAATATATGTCCAAGAGTTCAGTTAGCTTTAGAGAAGAATAAGAAGTTTGCTGAAAGTTGGTCTCCAACTTGGTATGGTGATGATGACATGGCTATTTTTGGTGTAACAAGTGGTATAGAAACTTACTATGTCAACATCAAAGAAGGTACATGTGCTTGTAGGAAATGGGACTTAACTAGGATTCCTTGTAGCCATACTATAACATGTATATGGCATAACAAGAAACATCTTGAAGAATTTGTTTATGAGTATTATAGGTATGGCATTATATGTATACTGATTTTTTATCTGTCATGAAATTTATATTTCTGAGTCTTTTTTATTTATGCAGGAAGACAACTTTCCAGAACACATGCTCTCACATCATATATCCTACAAACGGCCCTCAACTATGGCTTGTAGATGGTATATTGATTGTCAATCCACCAGTGATGAGAAGGGCAATTGGACGTCCGAAAAAGCTGAGGAACAAGAGCAATGATGAACCAAAGAATCCACATGTTCTGCGAAGAAAGATAACAACTGTCACTTGTACAAAATATGGATCCATGGAGCATAATAAAAGAACATGTAAAGGGAAGAGAGCAGCAGATAGGGTTATGCCAAAGGGAGGTGTTGCGGTGAGAATCAGATATCAAGCTATTGGATTTAACTTGAATAACAAATCATGAAGTTCACCACCAAGCTTTGATTTATCCAAAGGAAAGGGTAAAGATCAAAGAAAACCCTAAGTGCGCTATGTAACAACGCATCTAAGAGATCTAAGGTTCGGGGGTTGGTTATACATAAGAAATGTGTTAACATCCTAAGTATCTATAGTACTCTACAGGAACCTCTTGTTAGTATTTGTGTTATGCTAAAGTTGCTTGCTAATTAAAAAGTTCTAAGGTAAAGATCTAAAGTATATACAAAGTATGCTCGCCAAGACATCACATCTCGTGCCTACGTATCTTGACGGGAATGGAATCAGAGCTATCATAGTTCCCCTCAAAAGGGGTGAGGAACTCTTAACTGTGGTCAAGGTTCCAAAGGGAAAAGTAAATGTCTGCGGTGAGACACCTACATAGAGTGCGACGACTCTAAACTAAGGTTAAGTTAGTAAGGAAGGGAATGTCCACGAAGGGACGACTAAATAGAGCATGACGATTCCAAGTCCTATGACAAAGGCAAACATGGGAAATGTCCACGGAGGGACGACTACCTGGAGCACAGAGACTCCAATCCTAAGTTGCAAATATTAACAGGAAGTTATTTGTTAGTGAGCTCGCCAAGACATCGCATCTTTTTCCTACGTATTCTCAAGAGGAACTTGAGAAATGAGAGCGTCCATAGTTCGTGGAACTACGGGTTACCAGCTCCTAAGAACCAAGAACAACAAAGACAAGCAAAGAATAACAAAGGGACACACACAATGATAAAAGGTCAACATACAGTCTTTCCCCTTGGATTAGGTCCACAAGATTAAAGACAACAACAGATACACGGAAAACATCATGTAAATGGTATCAAATAAAAACACAGACACAATACACGGAAAAACGTCATGTATGGTCATACAAATAAGATATCACAGAGTACGCATAGAAATACATCATGGTAATCAGACAATGAAAATTCAACAGAAATACATGAAAAAAACATCGTGTAATTAGCAGACAAAGAAAACATACTAACAGTAATATATATGACTAATAGTAATAATATATATGATATGTATGATAACAAGTTGAATAAAATAAAAAATCAAACTCACAGTAATAACATATCTATATATGATGTGAACAGAAACAATTAACTATGTATAAAAAACTAAACTAATAACATACATATATATTTTTACTTTTAATTTTTACCGTAGCTTTTATATATCACTTCCGTTTTGTTTTTTTTAAGTTATATATATATATATATATATATATATATATATATATATATATATATATATATATATATATATATATATATATATATATATATATATATATATATATATATATATATATATATATATATATATATATATATATATAATGTGACGATTAATTTCTCTCTCTTATTAACTTGAATTTCATCTCTCTTATTAATTTGACCTAATGGTTGTTGTTTCGTACTCTCATCTCTCATTTAAAATCACTCTCATTTGATATGCTCCCTATATATATATATATATATATATATATATATATATATATATATATATATATATATATATATATATATATATATATATATATATATATATATATATATATATATATATATATATATATATATATATATATATATATATATATATATATATATATATATTTATTTAGTAGATTTTGAAATTTTTAGAGAATTTTATAATGAAAAAAATGGATGGTTTGTAGATGTAGTAGGGGGGTTACTTACATTTTAAAGAAAGAAAAGCAAGAATGATTGGTAGATGCAGTAATGTGGTTGCAACGTGAACAATAGTGTCTAATGGACTTCCACCATTTTTTCCTCTTTTGTTCTTTCTCTCGTTTCTATTTGAAATACTTTGCGTGGGAGAGTATAAGTGATAGGCCGACTACCTCTCTCTCAATTTTGTTTGAAGTGATAGAGATATTGTGTGATGAAAAGAATCATGATGTCTGTCTCCAACGATAACAATGTACTATATAGGCTTACAAAATGGAAAAAAAAACCTTTCCAACACTTAGGAAACAAATGTTAATTAAAAAAAGAAATAAAAACAAAATTTTATATTATTTTTAAAAGAAAATGGATAATTAAAATAAACATAGAAAAAATAACTAATAGTAAAAAAAACTTAAACTAATTATCCCTAATTAAAAATAAGTGATTAAACTAAAAAAAATGAAATCGGTTAAAAATGGGTAATCAGTCTGGTATCGAAGTGCTCGAAAAGATAAAATGAATACACCAAAGTGATTAGCAAAAAATATACAATTCGAAAAGTACATTGTTTGGGCAAATTTTGAAATAAATTTTACACGCTAAAATGACTTAAATTGTCCAAAAATATGACCGAAAAGTGATTAAAAAATTTAAATGAGCACGCCAGGTTAAACTACGTGAAACGTAGATTAACATGACCCACGTCTGCAAGCTCAATTTTAAAATTTTTCGTCCATTAATTTTGCGCATAGTTGACTTTTGGTTTGACCGATTCGTTATAAATCCAACAAGTTTATTCTGGCTGATAAATTGAGTACTATGCAAGATAATTGACCTAGATTGATATGCAAAAAATCAAAGAATCTAAGGGTAAATTTTGGGGTATGATAGTTTCTCCTATTTAAATATCTTCGTCGGATGATATAAGTGATGAAAATCCTCATGAAATCATGGTGAAAGGTATTTAAATACAGATAACCGAAATTTTTTCTCTTAGATGCAATGACATGCTATGCTACGGACAAAAGAAAACTAAGTAATGTTGACATGCCATGAACTCTAGCATGATAAAAATGATGGAATGATAAGATGAAAAAAACACAGACGTGACAAAAGCAAACAGGGATAGAGATGACTTTTGTTTTGGAAAAACATCAGAAGCAAAAGTCATATCCGAAAAAACATCAGATAAACGCAAAAGGAGTTCTGGAAAAATATCAGAATAAAAGTCATATTTGGAAAAACATCAGATAGGCACAAAGGAGTTCTGGAAGAACATTAGAACAAAAGACTCAATTTGGAAAAACATCAGAGAGATAAACATATCCAGAAAAACCTCGGATAGATTCTGGAAAAACATTAGAATCAAAGGGAATATCTGGAAAGACATTCAATAAGTTCTGGAAGAACATCAGAACAAAAACTCAATCTGGAAAAACATCAAGGAGAGACATGAGGGTGACATCCAAGAATGGCATTGGATAAAAAGATACCAGACATCCAATAATGGCTTTGGATGAAACGTATAATCACAATATCTGAGAATGGTATTGGACGTAAGATAGGAACAGACATATCCAGAAAAAAATCAGATAAGAAAAATATCATATATGGAAGAACGTCAGATTGACACGACAAAATCTATTTGGTAGGTGTCAAGTAAGTTGGACTTTGACCACAAGGTAAGATGTGGATAACAATACGACCTCTGGAGAAATGCAATGAGGATGAAGTTCTCATGATATGGATATGTATATGAATTATGCTATGATATATAATCAAATACAAATGCAGATGTCGACGACATGACTCGACTCTTTTGGTGAGATGACAAGACTGGAAGACTGATTCCTTAATACGGAGATCACTTTCATTCTACTTGGGGACTAAAGATGCTACTGCTGGGCACATCTCTGCCACAATGGTAAACTGTGTCAAGTTGATGATCCTTGTAGGAAGGATGAAGAGTTGCTTGGGGATTCTTTAAGTAAATTGCTCCAGATTAGCTGTCTATTGTAGATGAACTGATAATTACTTCAGCTTGTCTGATTCTGCAGATGACTGCATTATTGTGCGCTTCGAAAGCTTGTCCCAGTATAAGTCTTGAAGTATCTTCTGTATAAACCAATTCTGTGAAGGACTTACCCTGAGCAGTCAACCTTAAATTGATTCTTCGACAGGATGTGAAAAAAGCTTGCCCCTGATAGGATCACTGACCAAGTTTCTCAACTGTTTGAAAATTCCTTGAGAGGAAAGCCAGTTGACAAGCAAAAGTGTTCATACAAACATGGTAATGCAAAGTTCATGCAGCTTTTGAAATCAAAATTATTTTTGAAAAATGCAAAGTATAAGAGTTACATGTCAGAACGCGGCGGTTCAAAACACTCAAAGTGGTAAAGCAAAGGTGTAATGCCAAAATAATTAATTTAAAAAAATCTTTTGGAGTCAGTTTACGCAACCTTACTGTAGTATGCTTTCAAAGTAACCTTGCTTCAGTTAGGTCTTTTGAGGGTTGTAACGTGGTCTAGTTCACGGTTTATGAAATAAAGGATAAAAGCTCAAAGTTTATTTTTACCCACCCAATCTACGTGATTATCTTCAGTCCTATGCTCAATTAACTCATACTATTCGCTCAGGTTCCCATAGGTTAGAAATTGCAATGATAATAGCCAGGGTGATGGTTCAGAGGTCAAGGGACCTTTGAAAAGGCAGTCACTAATTCCCTATAATATGTGGTTGTTTTGAAATTTAGGACTTTCATGATAAGGATTTAATGATCTCCTCTTTTATTATCCCTAAGTTTTGCCTGAACTGTTTCTTGTGAAGATTACAGTCAGCGGGATGCCCCAGTTTTTCCTAAGTCTCCTTCATAGGTTTTGACTTAGTGGACTTTTTATTTTGATGATTCTTTTTTGAAAGAAAGAGAGTGACTTCCTGGTTTAATGATTATGGTGAACCACGAATAGCTTCTGACTTGAAGGACATCTTCGACACTTGCTTGTTGTGTGCGAAGGAAAATTATGGATGAAACATTTATATGAAAGGTGTATTGTAGGAAAGCACAACCAAGTTAACTGAGAGCTATCCATCCCAAGGTTAAGATTGCGGTTTTTTTGTAAAGAAAGAAACTCCAACTTCTAGGCTCGAAGGGGTTGACAAGGGAATAAATTCCTTATTTCTTCAGTGTTTGGGGAATTGAAACAATGCCTTGCATCATCAACAAAGTTTGATTGAAAGCGTACCAACAACAGTTATGGGTACAACGTTTTCGTCATCCTCCCTCAAA